GGCAGTCTGAGACCACTTCAGGTAACTGGGTGTTGCCGGAGCAACCATATTCACCTCACGGTTAATGACTTTCAGTCGACTTTTGCTTTCGACATTAGCAAAAATCATCAGGGTGAAATTGACTTGGGGGTATCCATCGTCGCTATCTTCCTTGTCCTCAACTTTGTCCGACTCTTTTCCTTATCTTTGGACTGCTTGCCCTGAAACTGCTGGATCAGGAGCCGGCACTGTCGAGTGGTATGCTTTGGGTAAATAAGATTACCCTCTTCATCTTTCTTGGTGTGGATGTGACATGGCAAATCCAAAACATCATTTCCATCTTGATCCTTGACTTTCTTGGGCTTCCAGGGCCCCTTGGGTTTTCCCTTAAATTTTCCCTGGGTTACGGCCAGGGCCTCACCAGGGGCGGCTGGCTCGGCCTTTCGCTTCTGTTTCCGACTAGAGTTTCCCCCGGTTTCTTGGGCGACTGCCTTGTGCTTGCCACTCCGGAGTCGATCTTCGTCTTCACCATTAGCGTATTTGGTGGCAATCTCCATCATCCAATTCAGAGACATCTCTCCAGTTCGACCGAACTTCAGATTCAATTCCTTGTATTTAACGCCTTCCTTAAAGGCACAAACTGCTTGATGATCTGGTACATTCTCAACTGTGTGATGCAATGTGATCCACCTCTGGATGTAATCCCTCAGAGTTTCATTCGGTTTCTGCATGCAAGACCGCAATTCTGTAAGGCCTGCAGGTCGCTTGCATGTTCCCTCAAAGGTTGTGACAAACACTCGGGAGAGGTCCTCCCAAGTGTAGATGCTGCTGGGCACCAACTGATTTAGCCACGCTCTGGCTGAGCCCTCTAACATGAGAGGCAAATGCTTCATAGCCACCTCATCATTGCCACCGCCAATCTGTACAGCCACTCTCTAATCTTCGAGCCAAGTGTCATGTTTAGACTCACCGGTGAACTTGTTGACTCCCGTCGCCAACCTGAAGTTGGGAGGAATCACTGCGGCTCTGATGGCTCGACTGAAACACTCTGGCCCTGAAACATGTATCCTGCTGCTGGCAGGCGCATCTCTGTCACGTCCTTCTCTGTGAGCCCTGTTCCTGTCGACCCAACCTTGAATGAGGATGGATCTCGCATCAAAGCCTGGTTCCCTAGGGTCGACTGGGATCCTCCGCCCAACACTATGAGGGCGTCTGTCATCCTGCTGTCGAGGCGCATACGACCCACTCCTCGGGGGAGGGGTTGGCACTCGATGTCGATCATCACGATCGAATTGATGATCATACTGCTCGTTTCTTCTGTACTGATCTGGTCGGTCTCCACGTCCCTCACGCCTCAGGGGCGATCTTTGGCTGTGAGCCGATTGCATTGTATCCTCTGCAACGGATCGACTGTGGATCCTATTCCACGACTGAGAGACAGCGGAATTCTGGTTTCCCGCTGCCCGGAGCAACACTCTGATTTGCAACAAGCCTCTGCCGGCTTCTGACTGGGAGGGCTGAATTGATTCTACTATTCGGGCCGCGGCTGCCAAATTCTGAACGGGAGTTCCATATACCTGCGTAGGCGAGAAGAGCTGACATCGACTGGACTGCAGAGCACGCACAAGTCTATCAATGTCAACTCAGCCGCGCTTTGGACCGATCCTACGAATAAGAGGCATTAACAAAGCATTTATGAGACACCATACTTTCAATAGGCAAGGGCTAGCCCGAAGATCAACGGGATCTTTCTCCAAGCTGAGCAACTAGCGCAAAAGCCGTTGCGCGTTAGCGCATCCATTTTCTTGCTTGATTTTTATACGATTTTCTGAAGTGATCTGTCCAACTAAGTAGAAAAGGGCTCCTGCAGTGCAAGACCCTGACATTTTGAACCCACCCCGGGTTCAATTGATACCGTCATCCCTGGATCCAGGGAGAACGCTAGAAGATCGAGTACGAAAGGGAACAGAGGCTGCAGTCACCTGACATGCTTGCTCGTCGAGTGCTCGCTGGAGATTCTCCAGTCGAGTGCGCTCGACCAAGTTAGCCAAGCGCGCGTCCTCCAGGGCTCGGGCCTCGGGGGTTTCTCCAACGATAGGAGTGTGGAGTGCATCCATGTTCCGGCGGCGAAGCTCCTCTCGCTGCAGCGACGTGAGAGGCTCAGGGAGATATTCTTCGTGGGGATGCGACGGGTCGCCCCACCTGCCCCTCCGTCGGTACGAGTAAAACCGGGAGGGCTGCATGTCCCATCAATTGCCAGGACCTCCGCCACAGGATCACTGCTGTTGCACTCAGATGCGGTCTCTGCGGAGCCAGTCGACAGGTTGAACAGGCCGTAGAGAGGTTCGTCGGGCTCGATTGCCGCGACTTGTGGGGTGGCCGACTGGCGAGCCACCGCATGCCTCACCCACCTCTGAAGTCTCGATCGACCAGAGCGCTTGCGCCGGCAAGAGACGAGGCAGGGAGATGACATGGGAGCCGACCGATACTGGGTCGACGGCTGCCGCAGTAGGACGCCGCGGACACATGCACGAAAGTGCGTCGCCCCGCGGACGGGGAGCGCGTCGATGTCGAGCGGAGCCTCTTGAAGCCAGGCGGAGTCGTTGGCGATGAACGTGAGCGCGCCGAGATGGATCTCGCAGCCCTCCACCAAAACTCCGCATGAAACCATGACCAAGGAGATCGGAAAGATTGCAACTCCTACAATTCAAGCGCTAAGATTCCTGCCCCACGGTGGGCGCCAACTGTCGTGGTTCTAAGTCTGACAGTGATGTAGGGGGGTAAGTATGGAGAGGCTAGATCTTAGCTATGCAGGGGATGTAAGCAC